CCGCTACTCTTCAGAGCTACATTTCAGATTTCCTTGGTTTTCACTGAGATTACTATATGCCTTTCCATTGACTTCAGCAAAAACCAAACAAGGCTTGCAACTACTTTTCAAAGAAATATATATAAAATAAAATCTTTTGTTGAATCAGGAAAATGTAAGGGTGAGATAGTCTACATTTTTACTCTGTGTTTTAGATACCTTACTGACATCAGCTCCTACCATGTTCACTTTTATATATGGTCTATCGCTATAACAGGGAGAAAATTCCAAAAAAACTTTTGCTCTCTCCACTTGAATCATCCAGACAAGGCTTTTGCACCATTGATACATTCCTGATGTTTCATTTACAGACTGCACACATGCACTACATTACATGTCTCAGAAGTGATCCTGTCATTATACATTGGCAGTTGATGATTTAACTCTGGCTGGCAAAGTAAATCTTGATTGCCCAAAGTAAATTTAATATATTACTTGGAGAGTAAGAAATGCATGAGAGCCTGGATGAGCATCCTTCAAAAGTAGGCATGGGATTTTTAAGCTACAGCATGTATGCATATAATACATACATATAAATATATATATGTATGTATATAGCACATATACATATTTATATGTGTATTCCATACATGCACAATAATTTTCAAGACAGCTACAAATTTCAACATGCATTAAACTATCTAAAAACAAGAAATAGGCAAGTCTAATAAGTGGAATTTTCTTAAATTATATTTGAACAATAAACAGCAAGAGTAATACTGCAAAGTACTACTCTATTCTCATTTATAGCTACAATAAAATTCTATGAACAGTTGTCTCCCAAAATATACCCCAATAAAATAAAATTAAAAAAAGGTAACACCCAGTGTCCTATATTTGTATATTCATGGTCAGCTATATCTGGATGAGATTGTTTAAATACCTGTAGTTTCTCTCCATGCAAGTTGCAAAGTGCAGTAATGGTTGGTATCTTGGCTATTAACTGTGAGATATTAAAAGAAAAAGAAAAGGAAGAAGGTAGAAGTAAATTTAGTATAAATTACAGTTTCTGAAATGAATTAAGGTAGCATCTTGTTGGCTAATTGATTGCAATACTCTGAACTCCATTAAAACTACCCATCCAACAGACCAGAAATTGTTCTTACCATTAGAGGTTAAACAAAAATGTCCTGAAAATTTTAGCCAAATGCCAAAAAATGTGTTTAAGAAGAAGGAACTGCCTCCAGGGATTTTTTTTTTTAAGCAATCTCATTCTTGCAAGGGTACCAAATAAAGACATTAGTGGTTTGGACAAGAAAGAAAGAGGAAAGACAACCAGGGACAGGAGTACAGCAACAAGCCTTCCTTCTTCTCTGATACAGTGCAAGCACATAGTTTGCTCCTTTTAACTTACATTAACGCACCAATACACAGAGAAGCTGCTACTAAAAGAGACACATGACCTCGGAGTACTCAGCCATTCTTTTTAACAATTTACCTTTGTCAAAGTCTCGTCGTCAAGGTGGTTCTTCTGGATCACATGTTGAAGCGCAAAGTAAATCTTTTCCTGAAGCTTCTGGACCTTCCTTGGCTCTATTAACCAGGCTCGATCTGAGAAAAAGAAAGGCAGGGGGCTAAAGCCAAGAAAAGTATGGAAGTGGGGCATGCTCACGGATGGACGCAACGTCCCATGAGCATTCATAGCAACCATAGGTCTCATGAGGAAGGACTGCAAGATAATTAACACAGTTTCAGAGGCAGAACATCTCAGTCCATTAAAGCATCACCTGAGAGTTTAATTAACACATACAAAGTGTATAGCAACATGATATTGGCTTTTTGTTTGTTTGTTTGAACCAGGATGTTAGAGAGAAAGATGGGAGTAGAAATGAAATAAGTTCCAAGCATTTTATTATTCTCTGTTGGTATAGTCAATGTTCTTCTAGTTTCATACTTTCAACATGAAAGGTGGAACTGTGGATTATTGTAGTATTTCATCTTGTCCCACCAGCTTCAACCCTCAAGCTTGAGCATGGTGAAAAGAATTTGTAATTGCTTCTGCTTATCTGTGCTGCTTGGCAGAAACAGAAGCTGCTATTCAGGAAACACCTGGCTCTGGAGTGCTGTATCAGGACTGAAATTCATTAGTAGCGTTAACGGGGAGGCTTTCACAACACATGCCTACCATACAGTTGGCTCAAAGCCAGTGCTGAGTTGCTAGCTTTTTCAAGCACTTAATACAGCCACAGATGCTTTACAAGCAGTAGAAACAAGCGTGGATTCTCAGGCAACACGAAGTGCTGGCAGAATGCAAGAGATTTTGGTGCTTTGCAAGTGAAAAGGGCATATGAAGAACTACAAAGCCTGAATCAGAATTTTTATATCCATTTAGTGCCTACCTGCGGCTAAGCACATTTCATAAATGACTTGATCCAAAATCCATTAAAGTTAATGGGAAACGTTGCATTACTTGAACAGGCTTTATCCAGGCATAAAGCACAGGAGCCTCAGAGTTGCTGGAAGGGTTCTGTGACCAGATTTTGTTGGCTAGCACTATAATTTGCTCTCCCTTTGAAAATTACCTGGGAAATGATTCTGGACAGAAATCTGACTTCTTTTAAATTTGGCTAGAAATCACATCAGTGACTCTTTTCCCTCAGATGAGATGTTCCCATCTTATCCAAGTGCTTTGAAGTCAGCAGCGATAATCTTATTGCTTCTGTCCATCCAGCTAGCTCCTACTTTTCCAACTTCTAACAGTTTAAGAAAATAAAAAGTGAAGTAAAACACCTCCTCAGATTAAAAAAAAAAAAAGAAAAATACAGATCCTGCTTACAAGGATTCCAGCAACTTCCTACTTATCTCAGTTTCATAATATGAAGTGAGCTGGAAACATCTAAACCACCTTCTGCTACCTCTGTTGTTAACATGTTCCTGAAGAACTTCACAGCTCAGATTCCAAACAAATTTCCAGATTGCCTTCAGCAATCTGGAAATTTGTTTGGCCTAACAGGCTACTAAGGCTACCCAGGAGCAAGCCCTGGCTGCACACAACCATACAGGGTAGCATTCAGTGCTGCTCGCCACAGTGCTGGACTCATCATGGTCACAGGTTTGGTCTTCTCAGACTGGAGGAGGGATGGTGGAGAGGTACCCATCAAGACACCGTGTGTTCAGCATCCCAGAGGGAGACAGGGCACCCAGGGGGATGGTGTGCAGCCAGCCTTCACCCCTGTGTATGGTTGGGATGCAGCTGAGGTGCACACCCGGTGGCAGGGGTTGCCGGGCTGCTCAAGCTCCCTGGCCTCATCCTGTAAGCAGTCACCAGCTCATCCCTCTCACCTCAGAGCAGACAGTGTACCACCACAAGGACTGCTCAAAGGGAAAATAAAAGGAGCAGAGTCCTTTCAGGAAGTGCTATTAATGACGAGAACAAACATGTTGACATAATCCGTCCTAGTCTAATTCTGTCTAATGTAATCTCCACCACAGATGTGCAAAAGGGCAAAGTGACCTAGAGGAAGCCTTTAGCAGAACAGGCTGGAAAAATAATTCGCCGTGGGATTTTTTGCAAAGAGCTTTTAAGAGGTTATTCTTAGTGGGAGTTGGGGGGGGGTCTACCTCCCCTGAGACACGTTTAAAAATTTCACACTAAACTGTGAGCCTGTCTACTAGATCCACCTTCTGAGTCAATTCAGTCACCAAAGCCCCTTTTCTGTGGTCAGGCAGCCCAAGTTGATTCAGAGCACGCTTGCCTGGGAGGAGTTGTGGTGTGTGAACATATGAAAAAGAGCACATTGCCCCAAGAAGCACCATGTCTCACCTGGGGCTAAATTCCAACAGGACCTTGTGCAGTATTTTACAGATCTTGTTCTCATCCCCACATGAAAAATCCCACCAGAGTTATGGACTCTCCTCTCTCTGTGAGCTGCCAGGAGGAGTCGGCCTCAGAGTGATGGGCAGAGTTAAAACTTTGAGCTCCCTGGAAATCCAAGGTGGAACATGCACCTCCTCAGGCATCGCGCTTTTCCGCACAGGGTGTGGAGGGACACCAGCCAGCCGCCAGGTCTGCACAGCCTGGCTCCAGGTCTGTCACCACCATTCCCAACCATTACAGCTCCTTTTGTCTCATGACAGAGCCCACAGATGCTAAGATGGTCCTTGACTCAAGCACAGCCAATCTTTTCCTATGGTTTAAGTTCAGGTAGCAAACAACTGACTTTTTTTTCTTTTTGTATAACTGGTAAGTTTTATAAAACTGCATAGTCTGCCTATCTGTGAATTTTTATGATGGGTTCCTCACACTTTGAATCTATTTCCAATATGTGTAACTCCTGACAGTCTTCCAAACAGAGTGTGTGGTACATTTGGGTAATCGAGATATACCAGTTTAAGAAGGCAACAACTGTTTAAGTAGGTAGAAATATAGGTGGACAAGGATGAAGGAAAGAAAAAAAAAAGATTCATTGTGGTATCTGGAATGAATAATTACCTGGTGATATCAGAACAGCAGATGAAAACAAGGCAATCTCCTCTTCAGTCAGCTGTAAGGAACATAAATTCTTTGCAAAGTCAAATGCTTCATTCACCAGATCATCAGAACCTACAGACCACAGAGGACAAAGTCAATGCTAGAAATTTATCAGCTTTTTAACTTGGCTTGAAAATTGGCTTGTTTTGGTGTCAAAGAAAATTTGGAGTCAACATCTGTACTTCTAAAACAGATGCCTTCCATCAGCTATTAAAATTCTACCTACTCTGAAAATTGGCTATTTCATGTATCACTAAAACATTCAATGAAGCACAAAAGTCATCAAGAATTAAGGGCATTACTTTTACTAAAAGCACACAGAGATCTCAGAATTTTTTTTCCCTATGTGGAAAGAAATGTTATTATTAAACAAATATTAATCTAAAGGACATAGATGACCAATAAATAGCTTTAAACAACTTTCACGTATAACATTTTATTAATTAACAGTACAAATTTTTTCTATATTTGTGAAAGTATAGCAAGGACCAAAATAAATCAACTAATGCATATTAACACATATGTAAATGTTCTATTTTTGAAAAGGAATGCTATGCTTATCCATATGCTAATAACAAAAATATATACCTCTATTGTAAATATATGCATGTAAAGTAAGTAACGCTCTCTGAGTTTGGTTCTGATTGCTTCATGATTAAATTTGCCATTAATGTATCCATTGCATGGATGGACAAAATAAACCATTTAGCTATTAATATTTTGGGTAGCACTCTATATCATGTTGAGAAATGAAGTAATTGTTTTAATATATGGATCTAAATGAACTTAAAAGTTTCTGCAGATTCAGAAGATTTTAGGTAAGTCCCTTGATACCTTTTGCTGTGGTCCATCCTTTTAGTTCCCTCATTGATGAGGGTAAAACTGATTCTTCCCTTTACTCCTTTTTCATGACACGATCAGTGGGAGTGATTGTATACATCAGACATCACTGAGCTGTGATGACAAACCACTTTGGTCCTACCACAAATATATTTGTATTCATGTATTTTGCAAACTTTAGATGACACAGTAGGAAATTTATCTCATAAAACTTGCACAGTGCTTTTTTCACTAGCGAAAATCACCTATTTACTGCTAGTAGCTAACGGAGTCACTTTTTCAGTTCAAGCACAGAGATTTGGAGGTTTCAGGATTCAAAATTTACTGAAGGCTTTCACTGTATTCACTACTCCCAGAAAGATAAAACTGCCACCATTGGGCTCAGTGTAATGTTTGAAAAGAAAAAGATGAACATACCCAAGGCTTTAAACATTTGCATCCCTCCATACTTTCCTTCAAACAGAACAGTATTGTTGAGTGGGTTGAAGGCACGGCACATTCTCACCAAAACCACTTCCAAGCAGCCTATTGGTCACAAAAAAGAGCAAAAGTGCCACACATTACCACAAAAAGTCAGAATATGGGAGGTTTCAGGAAAATATTTAGGAAAACATCAGTCACTAGAAACATCAGCAGGGACAGGCATTCTTTGGAGCCATGTACATGAGTTTTCTCTGAATGAGGGAAGCAATATTCCTGTCTGGTTTGACTAGAGAAAAGAGAAACTTCCAGTCCAACCCTACTTCCCTTTTTTTTAAGTTGACTTTCTTCATTGCAGCAAATTGGTAGCCTGGACTTACTTTGAATTTAGAGCTGGGTGAATATTTTCCATTAGAAGTATTTTCTCCTGAAAATTAGACATTTGTTGAGAGTCTTTTTTAATAAACTTTTTTTATATAAAAAAGGAGCTTCATTCTATATGCATCTGAATCTCAGCTTCATTTGGCTGGAGGGGGGGAATATCACAAAGTGTTTTTAGAGAGAAAATAAAAATTAAAGGACTTTCAAAAATGCCCCTAAATTATGTTTTCCTTTTGTTTCTCTTATTTTTCTTTCAGGTTGGGAAACAGTCATAGAGACTTCTTTTTTTCTCCTCATCCTTTCTTATTACTCCCTATGTGCAAAAACATGCAGTTTGGAAAAATGAAGGGAAAAACAATTTTAAATTTATCTAAATTTAAATTTCACTGTCTAAATCCAAATTTACTGTAAGAGAAACTGTGAATCTGGAGATTCTTTTGCACACATATTTTTGAGTAAAAAGTCCTGATTTTCCAACTCCTTCTGCTTAGCATTAGCAGCAAAATGGAAAATAAAACCTGACATGTTTAGACATGCTGAAGCTAACCAGAATTGTCCAACCATATGGTCAAGTATATCTTTTGCTTAAGGTGCGATTGTGTTGTTAGTTTTGCCAGTCAAATGAATGAAGTTACTTCGGGTGCACAGGCATCTGCAGAAGTTTTGAAATTAGTATGAGCTTTAGAAATCATTCTCATGCTAAGACCTTCTTTTTTTGCAGGAGACTGTGCGTGTGTTCCCTGGATCTCTGTGTATCCCTCCCTTTTTGCACCTGCACCCACCGCCTCAGGACAGTCCCACGCTGACCCATGGCCCCTGAGCACGGCATGCTGAATCACACTGACTCGCAGATTTAATGAAGAGCTCTCTCTGGAAATAGGCAGCACTTCTTATGCTTTAATGAGCTGCCTCACACAGCACCCCACCTTTTGCATGAGGAGGGAGCAAGAAACTTGTATGACAGGGTAAATGCAGCTAATTGCCAGTAGCAGTTCACTTGGTAATATCATTTTGTCCTCCCCAGTTAAATGATGCTATCACACAGTCATGATAAATCTTGTCACAGAGGCTAGAAATTCCCGAGTCCCACAACAGGGCAGAAACTTCTGTTCGTCCATGCCCTTTCGAGCATGTGTGCACTCCCATGCATGCACGCAGCGCCGTCAGAGCACCAGAGCTGCTGTAATCCACTCTCATCTCTCCCAACACCAACTAGCGCCAGCAGGGATTTTTCCCTCCTGTGCGCTGGCTGGAGGGCATTGCTGTAGCCTCATTAAAAAGATTAGAGATGACCACAGAGGCAGGCCCTGGTGAGCTGGCGTTCTCTTCACTAATGACAAGCAGGGATTTTAAGGGGTAGCAGATGAGTGATTCAATCAGCTCAATTCACAAGGTCCTTCCACTACATGTCAGGTTGGAGACTGCAGTTTCCACAATGATTTTGTGTGTGTGTGTGTGTGTGTGTGTGTATTAAATAACCACAATTGACTGTAGAGGGAAGGGACCAGAAAGAAGTAACATTATTGACATGTTAATGCATCCAGTGAAATAGACTGAAGAGTGGTCCTGCTTTAAAATTAAAATGACCTGACAAGCAAGATGACAGAGCATGTTTCTAATGTGCCGTGTGCTAAGTGGGTCTCCGGTCCTTGGCATTTACCTACCTGACTTAAGAAGTAGGATTTGGTCATTCTGGCAGAGCTCCATGAAGCCAGTTATCCGCTTCGCAAACTCCACCACATACTGGATGGCATGAGTGATGTGGATGGCACACTGCTGCCACAGAGCTTCTCTCGTCTTCCCGGAAACGCACATGAAAAAGCAAAGCAGTAAGCAAACGCGTTCATTAGCGCATTAAGGACTTGAGGTGGCCTGGCAGAAAAGCACAGTCCTTGGCTTTTACCCCAGGCAGAGCTAGGGCATCCCTGTTTATTATAAGTGCCTGACACTTTCCATTAGAAGGCTGTTTTCACAAATCATTTGCCCCAGAGAGCTGAACTCTGGCATTGCCTCTTCAAAAGGGGGGCTGTATTGGCCAATGTTACACTGTGATTTTAATGCTGGCTTTTGCATAGAATATACAAACAGCGACACAAACAATGTAAACATCCTGGAGTATTGTTAGAGAGGAAGCAGAGCAAAGCTACTAAGTCATCTAGCAGAATATTTCTGCTAGCTTAAAACTTAAAAAAAAATCATTAAAGTGCCATTGCAGTCTGAATGGCGATTACACCAGATTTATATCTCCTTGATAACTAGTTTCCTTGTCCACACATGTGTGCACATGCACATTGATGCTGTTGGGTTGTGTGCCATAGCTCTGCAAGCCATAGTGTGTTTTTATTCCTTCCAGCACTGCAAAGCCACAAAGCTTTCAAGGAACAAGTCGCACTCTCTTCTGTCTTTTGCCTGATCAGCTAATGTGTCACCTAAACTCTGACTGTAGAACCATTGGTAGTGATGCAAGCTGCTAGTGAGCAATATCCTGAACCAGCTTGACCTGTGAATCATAGAGGTAGACTGAAAATGTAGTGTAATGAGATCAGTTTTCCAGTCACTTTTGAACAGCTGCCCTTTAAGGAGTACTTTGAATTCATCATTATCTAATCTAATCTAGAAGTGATGGGTATTTACTTTGCTTGCAGTGAAAATATTTATTATTCACATGAAAAGGGGACAAATGTCTAACAGTTTTCAAAATGACATGAAACAAAATTATGTTGTCCTATTTTCTGAAAACTCTTCCAACAGAGAGGGTCCAATCCTAATCACATTAAAGTAAACTGAAATTCTGCAAAAAGTTTAGGCCTATGGTAACAAGCAGTGAGTGGAAAGCTAGATTCTATAACCACTCCTGAGCCTTGGCATCAGCAAATGTTTCAACATGCTGGAAAGCTGTTGCTTCTTTTTATGAACTGTCACTCCTCTGCTTTCAGTAACCAGGCTCCTTAAAGGCATTTAAAAGCTTATTTTTAGCCTCTTGGATAAGAAACTCATCAGTGTGTCCTTGTCCAATATGTTAAACACTGGTGACGATTTCAAACAATGGGGAGAAGAAGGAAAAGAAGAAAAAGCATATTACAGGATTGTACCTTGCTCTGGTAAACCTTAATTTCTTCATACGTGTGGATCTGCCATGCTAGCTGGTGTAGTTCCTCCATTGTATATTGACATGTCTCCAAATGAGATTTAATAATATTCTGTGCAATTCGATCTGAGAGGAGGAGAAGAAAAAACAGCTTGCATGAAACATCCCAGTGAATAGTGATTTGCAATAGCAAAATGCTGAAAACATTAAAGTTGTTGGAAAATGCAGATTTTCAGAAAAACATATTTTCTTTCCAATGGTACCTTTCTAACTCTTGCTCTCTCTCTTTTTTTTAATTTCTGAAAATGTCTGTTGCAAAATGTTTTGGTATTCAATGCAAAGCCAAAGGATGCTCAACTTTTCATGGATTTGCATGTGAAAATAACAACAGGTCTTATGAAACTGTTCAGATGCTTTCATTTTGGAAGTGAATTTTTGTTGCTGTGTTTAAATAAACATGATTTTGAGACCCTGATCACTTCCATCTGCCACAAGTCTGTGCAGCTGCCCAGCCCTGACAGCTCAATCCTGACTTGGGCATTTGCATGACCTTGGGGTGATTCAGATCAGAGAAGCAGGAAAAGTTTTTTCTGTTTTTCTCAAGTTAGTTTTCAGCTGGATCAATTTCTGATTTAGCTCACTGGACATGAACATGGAGACTAGTGATAGTGAGGAGTAAAAGCTGGAACTAGCAGTCTGAGTTTTAGAAGGAGAAGGGGGAGGAATAGATTCCACTTTTCTGTGACAGCACAGGATTAAGTTACCTCAAAGTTACTGTGAAACCACAACCTTATAAACTACTGCATAACATGGAATACAGGGCATATAGGGAAAGTGAAGCGTTCAATGCTGGCCTGAGATCCCACTGGAATTAATAGCAAACTTCTCAGAGAAGTATTTGAAGGCAGGTCTTTGCCTTTTAAAACCACATGAGTGGATAAAAAAAGATTTTCACAGAAAGTTTCCAACATGAGTTCATTAACAGTAGAAGATGAAATCTCTGGATAAAGTATGCTATAGGAAGTGCAATGATTCCTTAATTTTGCAGCTCTGAGACCTATATATATCTAATGATGCTTTGGGTTTCAGCCTGAAGACATTGCTTACATGAAATACCTTTTAACAAGGGAACAAGTGGAAGTCATAGGACTGAACTGAAATGCTTGCCGCAGAACCTCACGTAACAGAGATCACATTCAAAAAGAAGACATTCAAAAATACATTGGCAATGCATTAGCCAGACCCGAGCATGGGAAATAAAAAGGACCAGGAATGTCATCATTTATTCATCCATATCCTCAACAGTGTTAGCACAGTGGGTGGACCTGGTACCTTGGAGCCCAAAATATGACTGTTTCTTTGGTCAAATGTTAAGTGAATTGAAAAACACCATTTAAAAATAAGCATAAATATGCATATGCTCACTGTGATCACTGCTATAGGAGTATTCTTTAAATGAGAGATGTCTATGTTACTGGCATAGTTAATAAACTGAAAGTCAGTGCTGGAAAAAACCCACAAAAATGCTCCAGATTTTTTGTAGGGACAATGAAACCTGCCCAGTGCAATCTTTACAGGAATCACTTAACAGCTCAGTGCTATCTTTAGGCTTCCTGATGGAAGAACCGACTCGGGGGTAAAGAAAACTAAAAGTGTATGTTAGTGAGTGCGGGGATCTATCTACCATTCTTTTATGGAAGGATAGATGAAAGTCTTATCCCATGATGGCAAGTTGCCTTATTTTTTAGAAAAGAATCCCTTACAGATAATTGAGCATGTTAGAATAAAGAGATGATGAAATTTAAACAGATTTTTTTTTAAGGATCAGCAAAGGTTGATTAAAGAAATGCAATTCAAGAAAAACTGTTTTATAAACATCAAATTTCAGATTTTAACCCCCAATATGTTCTATTTAAAGCACAATTTTAACAGAATCAACTTTCTGGAAATATCCTGAACCACAACAAACCCGACTGCAGAAATTAAGTTCAAATTGCAGATTTTGCCGCTTATGTTACTGGAAGGATTTAACCAGATGAAACTGAAGTACGGACATAGGAACAGGTTTGTATCTAAAACACCTGTAAAAGAAGTATAATTTTAACTTGTGTTACACTTCCCCATTCTGAATCGTAAAGGATTTTGCTCTCTCCACCCATTGGCTATTCCTTCTATTTCTTGTGCTTCCTAATCCAGTTCCCTTAGCCTCACCATTCATTGCATAAAGCAGGAATTATTCATGTTCTTGACACAAAGAAAATGAACCCTGGCATTACTGCATAGCCAGATTTTGAATCAGATAAGGTGGCCTGAGGGCTAACAATCTGAAAATAAGACCCTTTTGCTTCACTGACTTCAAAATATATTTGATTAGCAGGGTTACGTTACTGTGAAGATTCCCACCCCTACTCTTTTATTCTTTTCCTACCACTTATGTATTTACCTTAGGACCAAACAGTTGAGTGGCACTTAAAAAACTCTTCAGTGTTTTGTGGGAGTGGCATCTTGTTTTACCCCATCCAGCAGTAAGCATAGCTATTTCCTTACATAGTTATGCTTATGTTAAGCTGACATTAAAGCTCATTTAGGTGTTTAAAGGCCTTAAGACAATAGCAGCAAGCAGCAGCACTGAATGCTGCTGTCCAAAGAGGAACCAGGTGCAAGACACTTGAAATTTTTGTGCCGTGGGCTAGGCAAGGCAGAGCGTGCCATGGAAAGGGTGCACTTGCTCTCGAGGACGAGGGCCTGGCTGCTCCTTTGGCCTGCTGATTAGAAGAAGGCAGCATAAGCAGCAGAAGGGACTCCAGCTTTATGCAAATATGGCATTTTGCATGGTACAAAAGGTAAAAGAAGTAAAAACTTGTCTTGGCTTCTCTGAGGGGCCAACAACATAAGATACGTGAGGAGGCAGAGCAAAGAACGTAACTCTCAAAGGGTTGCAAAGTTCACAGCCTTTTTTTCTGACATTTTCAAATAGATTTTACCTTTTCTTTGATAATGAAGTTGGAATCAGTTTGCACCTCTGCAATTCCATGTAGAAAGAACTTAATGACAATCACTAGGAATAAGGCACTGACATCTAATATCAACCTGTCCTGACATGCAGCACAGGTACTGTGGTATACCCAAAATACAGTGAATTTCTGGGAGACTGGGATGATCTGACTGCTCTGAAGTGTTGCTGGCAACTGAGTTCAATAGATTAACTCTTTTAATAGAACTACAAAGAATAAGGAGAGAAGGCAAATAGCTTTGTACAGCAGGAGGAGAACTATTGTCTCAATGCAGAGGCTGTGGCCTCAACCCCACAGAGATACCCTGCTGGGGTGATGCTCAGCAGCCATGTCCCTCCTGTCCTCCAGGCCAAAAGTCTGCCACAGTTACTCCATGTATTGGGTCTTGACTTTGGTTCATTTAGCTGTCTGCCACCATGAGCCAACAACTATAACCAGGAATCACGTTTGGAAGGGCTATAAGCACCATGAAAGACAACACCATTCTTGTGACCTCAACGTGGGCTGTTTTCAGTTGAAATGTTGTCAGCCTCCATTTTGCATAAGCTACAGCAAATTTGCAAGGTTTGCTTTATGAGAAGGCAACCAAAAGCGATGATGCTGACCACTCAGATGAGAGAATCAAAGTTTGCAAAGAGTGTTTTACAAAGAGTATCTGCTGTAAGTGTTGAGTGAAAAATAATAATTCCAACTCAAACAAAATACTGAGCCTGCATAATAGTATATTATCAGCATTATAACTACACCTGTAAAGTATAAGGCTTTTAAAGCATATCTGCCATAGTGTGTAAGCAGAGATTTTTGTCTAGGTGTTTCATTCGTCCTCTTTTGTCTGTATGTTGGGTTTCTTATATTAGGCTGTATCTCTTATCATGCATCATGATCACTTGATACTACATGATACCATGGGAAGTTGATGGCCATAGTATATCCTAGGAGATTAATTCTATCTGGGAAACGTCCTAAAGAAAATAATAAGTTTCAAGTGATTGAATTCCAGCATGCATTGTGACATGTTACCATTTCCATTTGACAGTTTGGGTGTAAATTTGAAGTGTTCTTAGTATTGGTACTCTGAAGTTGTTCATGCAAAGCAGACACATTTTATACAACCATTATGTTTCACTAAAAACCAAAAACTCCAGAATGAAGTATTTGCTTCCAGAGAAGTAAACGGGAAACAACATAATCAATCAAGCAAACAATAACTGTAACCAGTATGAGGTCTTGAAACATCAGAAATACCAGACAATATATACCTTGGGATGATTAATTATATTTCATATCTGTCTTGCATATGTCTGACTGGTTTTCTGTTATGGCCCATTATCTTAGCTGTAAAGTCTCATTCATTCTTAGGGATGACAAAGAAACTTAGATACTATTGGCTTGTACTGACTCTACATTTCCAAAGATTTCAAATGAAAACACACCAAAGCAGTCAGTGTGGTGAATATCTGCACCAAATCACAATGCAAAAAATACTAAATATTAGGAGAGACAGGTTACAACACCTATGATCTATGGAATGTCACATTTTCCTAGTCTATCAGCTACTTGACAAAATATATCCTAAGAAACTGCATATCCTATTTGAAGTATTCTCCTAGTGAAATATAACTTTAAAGAAAGCTGATTTGATAACTTCATCCTTTGGATTACAGAAATGTCTATCAGTAGGGCTGGTTTCCCTGCACAGAAAAGAATGGGAGGTTTGACAAGTTCACTTTTCACAGAAATCTCCAATGCAATGGAAGAAATAAGAATTTAATTATAGCATATAGTTCAAACGCCCAGACAGGAAAACAGTTCACCTAAGAACTGACAATGGCATCAAACTGGAGCAAAAACCATCATCCTCCCCCCACTCTCCATATGAACTTGACCGTATCCTGATGAAAGTGACTCAAAAGAGAGAAAATGTATTTGAAATGTTTTAGATACTTTCAGATAATTGCTGATTAATGAGAAAGATATGAAAACTCAGGTCATTACCAAATAGATAATTGGGAAAGCAGTGGATTTGGAACAGCTCCAGAAAAATAGCTAAAGAGGCAGTAAATGAGGCTAGCCACAAGGAAGCGAGCCTGCTGATAGCTGCATCAGTGCTCG